ATTCCTCAGGCTAATATACTGCGCTTGACACTATCAATGCTAAAGCAGGGCTCCCTGTTGAAATACTGTCTATATAAGTTGGGAAAAGAAGCATGTCTTTATCAGGTCATGTGACCTAGAAGATATTTGGCTTTACGGCCAAAGGCTCTTATATGGAGCTAATTGCTTTTACTCTACTACTTTTCTGCCTGCTTGACTGCTGGTCATGACTGAGGCAAGGAAAAAGTTTAAACCTTCTGAGGCCAAAAAGAGGAAACGTGAAAGGGATTGAGGAAAAACAAGAGCCAGTCTTGGAAAGGAGTTTGTTCTTTGGTGCAAGCTGAAAGAAGTTGTATGTAAAACTGATTCTCTATTGGGTCTAGGTCTGGAGACTGGCTAGGCCATGCAAGAACCTTAATATGCTTCTTCCAGAGCCGCTCCTTGGTTATCCTGGCTGTGTGCTTCGGGTCATTTTCCCATTGGAAGATCCAACCTCCACCCATCTTTAATGCCTTTACATGAGGGAAGGATGTTGTTCCCTAAAATCTTGCAGTATGTGAACTTGGTCATACTCTCCTTCATAGAGTGCAGTCTCTCTGTGCAGTGGGGGACATTGAGTCTGAGTGGACCATGTTACGAGACTCTATTGTCATGGTAGCTAGTTCGAGCTGTGGCTGCAATGATGTCGGCGCATGTCGCAGCAGCAAGCCTCAAACATGCTGCTGGATACCAGTGGTGAGGGAAGCTGTCAAGTCAAAGAGGCTTATCAGGCTTAATTGGCGTGAGGGAAGAGTCTGGAGAGGCCATGGAGGGAGTCTTCCGCACGGCTTCGAAGTGATTATGGTCCACAATCTGGCATCTCAGGAGGGGGAAGCAGTGCAGTACCTGCACTATTTATAGTGGGGGTGGTGTGCTGCTGACCTCCACTTGGGAGGTGTTGGTGGGCGGAGAACTTGGAAGACCCTCCTTAATCCCATCAACCCGTCTTCCATTGAGAAAGCAGAGCCTGGGGGCTTTTTGTAGGGTTCTCCCATTTCTGGTGCTGAAGTTTCAGAGTTGGTTAAAAAGCTCCTTGGTGGCAAGGCCACAGGGTAGATGAAATTCGCCCTGAGTACCTTTAGGCTCTGGATGTTATGGGGCTGTGTTGTTTAACACGACTCTGCAACATTGTGTGGCAAATGGTGGTGGTTGGGGGACGGGAGGGTGTGTTCCAACTACAGAGGAATCCCACTCTTAAGCCTCTCTGGTAAGGTCTATTCCAGGGTTGTGAAAGGAGGGTCCATTGGATAGTCGAATCTTGGATTCAAGAACAGCAATGTGGTTTTTGTCCTGGCTATAGAACACTGGATAAGCTCTACACCCTCAGCAGGATCCTGGATTGACATTGGCCTAGTTGTGGGAGTGTTGGCCTATTGGTTAGAGCGGTGCGCTTGTGCTCTGAGAAGGTTGCAAGTACTCAGTTGGACTGTGTCCCTTGGGGGGGTCCTGTGGGGGATACTCCGGGAGTATGGAGGACCGGGCCCTTTAATAAGAGCCTGGTCCACATTGCTGGTAGTAAGTCTGACTCGTTTCTGGTGAAAGTTGGACTCCGCCAAGCTTGCCCTTTGTCCCTGATTCTGTTCATTACGTTTATGGACAAAATTTCTAGGTGTAGTCAAGGTATTGAAGGGATCTGTTTTCGTTGCCTTAGGAACTGCTATTGGGAGATGATGTGGTTTTATTGGCTTCATCAGGGTGTGATCTACTGCTCTCACTGGAGCAGTTCCCAGCTTGAGTGTAAAAGCAGCCGGGATGAGGATCAGTGCCTCCAAATTCTAGACCGTGGTCTTGAGTCGGAAAAAGAGTGCCTTCTCCTGGTTGGGGAGGATGCACTGCCCCTAGTGGAGGAGTTTAAGTATCTTGGGATCTTGTTCATGAATAAGAGAAGATGGAGCGAGAGATCAACAGGCGGATTGGTGCAGCGTCTGCCGTGAAGCGGACACTGTACCGGTCTGTTGCGGTGAAGAAAGAGCTGAGCCAAAGAACAAAGCTCTCGATTTACCGGTCGATCTACGTTCCTACCCTTATCTATGGTCATGAGCTTTGGGTCGTGACCAAAAGACCTAGATCCTGGATACAACTGGATTAAATGAGTTTTCTCCGCAGTGTGTCTGGGCTCTCCCTTAGAATAGGGTGAGGACCTCAGTCATCTTGGGAGGACTCAGAGTAGAAGAGGAGCCAGCTGAGGTGGCTCGGGCATCTGGTTAGGTTGCCTCTTGGACGCCTCCCTGGTGAGGTGTTGCAGGCACATCCCACCGGGAGGTGGCCCAGGGGGAGTCCCAGGACACACTGGAGGGACTATGTTTCTCGGCTGGTCTGGGAGCACCTTGGGATTCCCCCGGAGGATCTGGACCAAGTGGCTGGGCAGAGGGATGTCTGGGCCTCCCTACGGATGGATGGATGGATGGATGGATGGATGGATGGATGGATGGATGGATGGATGGATGGATGGA